CTTCTGCTGGACTTTTTTTTTTTTTTTTTTTTTTTTTTTGTACCAATGATCAAACTTGGGACCTTGTGCTTGCAAGGCAGGCAGCAGAACCACTGAGCTAAATCCCTGGTCCAGAGTCAGACTTTTCTGAGTCACAGGCTCCTCAGGAGAAAAATCTACTTTGACCTTTTGATGTCATAGATACGGAAAATGAGAACCAGAGAGGTCAAACAAGTAACAATGCCCCCCACCAATGAATGGCTGGGAATCTAGCCTAGGATTTCCCAGTCTGTACCTTCTTTCCTCTCCGGAGGCACTGGGAAGGCAATGGAGAAGCACGTTCCAGCCCTACAAAACCAGGTGGCAGAGCTGGATGAGGGCCTCACTTTCACCAAACACTTAGGTTTTTCCAACCTCTGCTATAGATGGTTATGGTCCATTGAGGATTTTGATGATGAGAGAAATTATCACATTCTACTACAACTGTGGTATTACAGAACAGGTTGAAGTCACTGATAGACATTTAATACATTATTTATAAATATATTTGCTGTATTTTTCTCATCTATTATTAGGATCTTACATTAGCATATTATAATGAATAAACCAATATAGATATATCACTATTATTTGTAGTTCATACTTAATTCAGATTTCCTTACTTTGTGCCTAAAGTCCCTCTTTTGTTCCAGGATCCTGTATTACATTTAGTTTATTCTATTTTTGATTGACAGAGAGAGAGAGTAATATTTTTAGCCAATTAAGAGCAAAATCTTACAAATTACTGTTCTCATATTCTCTAATATAAAAGAAAAGGGCATATGTTAATGAGGTAACCTGGAGTTTTAATTAAGAGAAATACACTGTGGATAAGCGATAGATTAGGTTAAAAGAATGTGACATTTGGAAGGACCTGGCAACACGGTTTCTGATTTCAGCATAGATTGGCAAAATCTAAAAAAGCAAGGGATAGGGTAGAGTAGTATGAGAATTTAAAGTAATAACAGGCAGTTCACACAAAACCATAGTAATATTGTACAATTTGCCATCATTTAGTTTAGGGAAGTTTGCATTTTTTAAAACCCATACAGATTCAGTGATAGTTTCTTTGCCAATATTTATGTAAAACATTTTCCAAACAAGACTGATTCATCTTACTCTGAAATGAATTGTTAAATCACAACAGAGAATGTTAAAGTGTTTGCATCTCTTATAGAAATGCCAAACATTTTACTTTGCCTGATGCTGTACTAAAAATAGGGAGATTCAAATGCTAAAAATGTTATCCAATTGCCAAACATAGTTCTTTAGCATCTAATTTTCCTAGTACAAATGATTTGTTCTTCCAAAGTTTGAAAGTGAAAGCTAGTTATAATTCAGAGAAATGCTATACCTAACTTCAATCAATGAAACACAAACAGCATTTTATGCATTCAGTTTTTCTTTTTGTTTAGATTTCTTTCAATGAAATGCTTCTTTAGACATTTACTGAAGTTTTGCTAAATAGCAGGCACTCTGATGACAGTTTTTAAATTAACAGTTGGAACAGCCAAGCGGCATCAATATCATTGGAAAATAATGATGCTGCTTAAGTAATTTTTAATTTTGTTAGCTGCATTTGAATGTAACAGTAGATATAAAATTATTTGCTGTAATAAATGACTAGTAAAGTCAGAATTTGAGAAGTACAAACTCACCAAACAGGACAATATAATGTCCCAATATCCAAAAGTGAGAGGAAATTAAAATTAAATTCTATGAAATTTTAACAGATTAAGAAGAATAGGACTTCTTAAGAAAGAAGTTACCTCTTGTCATCAAAAGGACAATAAATGAGAAAATACCACTGATTTGTGCTTGGCATTTCAAAACTACAGATATATCTACAGGTCTATACCTTGTAAAAAGTGGAGAGAACATGAACAGTATAGGGATTTGTATGAGATATTAAGGTTAGCATTCACTTGAAGAGCAAGAGATCTGTGAAAGGGACATGGCCAGGAAAGGTGGGAATGGCTGCATGACATCTTATTCCAATCAACCAACTGTCCAATTGGTCTTTAGTTTTCCTTCTGCAACTCACCAGACCAAATTTAGAGCCCTGTACTCACGAATGCAAGAATTCCTTAAAACTGAATACACAGAATTATGGTAACCTCTCTCCTGGCTACATCAAAAGTATCACCTATTTTGACTTGACGAGTTAGGTTAAAGTAATTAATATGTAATAAATGACTTAAATAAAATTATTTGAGGCAAATTATTATTTAATATATTATCAAGTTCATTTAAATACAAACTACTCATATTTTGACTTAACATGTGCTATTTATTTGTATTCATTTAAAAATGAAATGCATGTTTGTAGACAATTTTGAAATAACAGTATATTCTTAGTTTGAATATTATACTTGGTTTGAACTTGGTTTCAAGTTATATTCAATATGTCATAATGTCAAAAGAGGACAAGGTTGCTTTTATTAATTAATATTTTGGATATCTTGGCATTTCAGACAAAAATAATCAACCTACAATAATTTTTGTGTTTAATTACAAATTGAGAAGAGATGTAAAGTTTTAGACTGTTAGTTTAAGCAAGTCTCTCTAATTCATACATTTGACTGTGCTGTGAGCTTGCTAGGAAGTGTGAGGATGGATTCAGACACACAGACCACACACACACACACGCACGAACGCACACACGCATGCACGCACGCACACAGAGTTCTCAGCCACTTGGGGCTACTAGAGACCACCACATTGTGAAGTTCCTGTATCGTTCGGGGAGAAGTGGGAACACAAAACCTTAAGCAGCAGTGACATCGGGCTCAGACAGAGCTTTGCATAGTGATTTGAACCTCTGCTTTTGCAGTTGTCACCTCTAGAGTTCTGGACTTCCTAGGCACAGTGCCCTCTCACACTGTCCCTAGCAGTGAACCTCTTGAATCAGTGCACATCTTTAAATGTGTCTTTCATCTCAGGCAGCACACACTTGCTTCTGTGAATCACCAGTAAGAGGCACAGGTTAATATTCATTTACACCGACATGAGGGCTAATATACAAGGGGCAATATCAAAGGAGCACTGGTATTTCATAAAGTATTTCTAAACTTTTGTGATTGTAATAGTACAGAATTAATAGTACAGAATTTAGATGGGCATATTAAAGACCTTGTTTTCACATAGTACATCTACAATGAAATGAGAAGAAAGAAATCACTGGCAGGAAAAATATTTCCCCAAGTTGTGACTTGCATCTCAATAATGAGAAGCCATTATAAAAATATCTTTAAAAATTCTTAAGCTGATCTATTCCTTAGAATTTTGAGATTACCCACTGCTCTGCTATTTTCCCATTCTGTATGCACAGCACAGATTCCTGCCAGGCCTATTACAGTGAGCAAACAATGTCCTCTCTGTCAGAACAGAGAATGAATAGTATCACAAAATTCTCTAATGTACAGCCTACATTTCCCCCATCCCAAGCCCTTCAGAAGAGAAAAACCAGGATGAGGGCTGAGGAAGAAAACCCGACTCTCTCACTGCCAATTTGAAATTGCCTTCTAGAACACTAACGGCTAAGTAATGTCAACCATATATTAACTTCTAAGTAGAGAAAGTTGACAAGTATATTTTCTTTCAAATTGGATCATGTATTTTTGCATTTCTGTGTATATGGTACATAATATATTTATAGGGAAAGAAGGAGAGATGTCATCAGATAAAATTTCAGGGCTTAGCAAAAAAACAGCTTATCACAACAAAAAGCATCAACAGGGGGACTTCACAGAAATGACACAGCAATTTAAAAGTTTAGAAATACTTTATGAAATACCAGTGCTCCTTTGATATTGCCCCTTGTATATTTGTATTAAAATATTGGCAGCTAATTCATGAATGCGGAATTTGACTATCACTTCGGCTGCTTCTGTTAAACTTTGATTCCCACTAAGCTCACGATCCATAAACAAAGAACCTCAAGCTACTCCTCTGAAACACAGGACAGGAGATGATGCTGACAGATTCGTCTTTGGCATTAGGGTCTGTCTGTCTGTCCATGCTCACTGCACAAGAAGCACTGGGCATCTCACTTTTCCAAAACAAGAACTTCATAATGTATTCTCAGGAACCAATGAAAAGTTTACTTAGAAGGTATTTTCATAGAAGAACTCGGGTTTCCTTGAAATTGTCCTTATTTCTAAGTCTTGATTGCTGTAAATTATGATTCATTTTTCCCTCCTTATGACAAGAATATAGCATGTATTTTGCTTAACCTTTAAAGGGAATTACCTAACTCATTCCTCATAAAGGAAGACATGTTTTTATTGCCAAACCACAATGGCTTCTGTTTTCATGAATGTCTATAACAAGAAGAAAAGAATCTAGCTTCCCTTTCTTTCCCTTTTCCCACACATTTGCAGTGCAGCTCAACAAGCTCCCAGATTCTAATGGCATTCTCCTGGTAACACATTTAGCAGAGGCTGCAGGACACCCCAACAGCTCTGCTTTCTTTTCTCCTCTCTCTCCTCTCTCTCCCCCAGGTCTGTATTAGACTGAACAAGTAAATCTTTGTGCCGTGCCAATGCAATCTGAAAATTCTAATGATGTGTCCCCAGACTGGCACAGTGGTATTATTTACCTTGGAAAGATGTCTGTTCAAAAAACTATTCTGTGCTCTGGCAACGTGTCCCTTTGAAATGTTGTTATGGTGAGAGTCTCTCTTCTTTCTTGGCCTATAACCAAAAAGAAAGTCAGAAAAAAAGCAGATGGATTTAGGCTGTCAAAGATACTCAGTATACTATAAAATTGTTGGCATATTTATGCCGAATGCTGAACTTTATATTCCTTCCTAAACAAAGCAAATAACACAGGTTTATTTATTAAACAGGCACAATTACAAATATCAGTGAATAAATACAAAATTATCTAAAAAAGAACAGCTAAGTCAGTATCTAATCCAATACAAATCACTGTACTTGCTCTTTCCATACCTTGCCCAGTTTATGGCAAATTAATCTGTGAGCTATTGGGGCAATATTAGAACTCAAATAACTATTATATGAATTTGAGATGAAATAAGCAGTTTATCTGAAAAAAGCATTTGCACTTTATGGCAAGGTGAGCCATGACTCAATTCTGGAAATTTCTTATCAAAAGGAGGTTGTGTGGCAGTGTGAACAGTGTGAGCTGTACGACATGTGGCTCCAATCCCGAGATGTGCGCCGTCATTCTGTTGTGAAAGTGGGGGAGAGGTACAGAAATGGGAGGAGGCCGCCGGGATGGTTTCCCCGGTCCTATCTGTGGCTCTGTGCTACTTCAGCCTGGCCCTTCCTCCACCCGCTTTTCCTCTCTGGTTCTCTCCCCATCCTTCAGTAAGTATGTCCTATGCTGGATGTTTACAGAATACACCAGGATAGGTGCCATGTGAGAGAAAGGAGTGGTGAGGGAATGGATGAATGAATCAATGAACGAATTTACCTATTAAGGAGAATATCACAGCATTTGACTAAGATTCAACATCTTTCAATTAGTTTGGCAGACTTGAAGCACAATTTCTGATTTTCAATATAAAAAATTAGGCACATGACCAGTGAAGATTTGCATCTGATGTGCTTGTGGCTGTAAGATCATCTCAGACTGTGTTGCTTTCTTCTGTTGCAGTGTCAGCAGATTACTTACATTATCTGAGGGTGCATCTATTGTTTCCTTGCCAGTTATCAAGTGAGAAGGCTGCCCTTTGTTTGCCGTTGAGTTCAACTACATGATTATTATCTCATTTAAAAAAAAAAATAAAACGAGGTCTGAGGATTTAGTTCAGTGGTTCTACTGCCTGCCTTGCAAGCGCAAGGACCCGAGTTCGATCCCCAGTACCAAAAAAACGAACAAACAAACAACAACAAAAAACCCCGAAAAGATCAGAACAAGAGACACAATCACAGTTGTCTGGTTTAACCTGACTCTAGGTCTTCCACTCAGTCACGCCAAGGAGGAGGACAGGGTTTCACAGGATGGAGTACTTGAGAGATAAGCAAGTTGCCAAGCTATTGCTCCACCCTTTCATTAAACTTCAGATACAACTTCCTTCTAACCCCTGACTCATAGATATATTTAGATGTGGGTTCCAATTGTAAACCTCTCTTCTTTTCAATGTAGATGGTTAATCTTGGAGAAGTGTCTTGAGTTACAAGCAAGATTTAAACATCCATATTAAATTGCAGCAGGTAAAAGAATAAAAATAAACATTTTTGTTAGAAAGTTAAATCCTATCAATGTGATTTAGAAATAATATTTCAATAGGTTTTCTCTATCATTAGATATAAAGAGTTTGATTTAAAAACTGAATATAAATTGACAGTTAATTTAATAATGTAAAACTGGTGTAATTTATTTTGCATTTTAAAACAGAAATTTTATGAACTAAACTATTGCAAAGAAACAAAGTAGTGAAAACAGTGCAGTACTATCTTAAAGACAGACTCATAGTTCAATGGAACAGAATTTAGCCACCTAGAAAATAAACTGCTATTGGTAACTAAATGTACTATATTCCTTCAACTGTATGGTCAATTGATTTTTTTTGACACAGATGCCAAGATTGCTCAATGAGGAAGGTCTAGTCATTGCAACAAATGGTGCGGCAGCAATAGACAGCTACATGCTAGAGAATGAAGCTGATCCTTAATTCAGGCACTACGAAAAGTTAATGTAAAATGTAGATCAAATGCCTGAACATGTGAGGTCAAACTACAAAACTCACAAAGAGAACCCAGAGGTAAATCTTTATGAGTTTAATTTTGACTTGAAAATTTAGGCATGCACATATAGCAGAAGAAAAAACTGGACTTTACCCTAATAAAAATAATTATGCTTTAAAAAGCACTAGAGAGTGAAAAAGACAATCCAAAGAATAAAAGAAACTATGTGAAATCACTTGGTAAGGGACTTGTATGTATAATATATAAAGAACTCATACAACTCAATTAAAAAAACCGAATAACCAAAGATAGGCAAGGACCTGAATAGATATTTCTCCAAACAAGATAAACAAATGGCCAATAAGACATGAAAAGATGCTCTACATCATTGTCAAGTATAAATCAAAACCTCAATGAGATGCCATTCTACACTTACTAGCATAAAAACTTGTAAGATAATAACAAATGTTGGGAGGAATAGGGAGAGATCAGTGTGCTCAAGTCCTGCTGCTAGGAGTGTAAAATGATGTAGACTCTGAAAATAGTCCCGTAGCTCTTCAAAAGTGTTACACACAGACTTACTGTTTGACCCAATCATTTAACTTCTAAGTAGATACAAAGGGAAACTGAAAATGTATTCACACAAAAACTTACACATAGATGTTCATAGCAGCATACTCTTAGGAGTCACAAAGTAGAAACAGGCTGGGGACTTAGCTCAGTGGGGCTGCTGCCTGCCTCACAAGCACAAGGTCCTGAGTTTGATCCTGGTACCAAAAAAAAAGTAGAAAACAACTCAAATGTCCACCAACCGGTGAAGACAGAAACAAAATGTGGCATATTCACATAAAAGGAAATGATTCAGCCGTAAAGTGGAAGTATTGATATATGTTACAACACGGATATATTCTGAGCACTTTTGGTAAGGAAGCCAGTGACCAAAAAATTCACATAAAAGTTTGATTCCGTATATAAGAAATGCCCCCAAAGGGCAACTACACAGAGAAAGAGAATAAATTAGTGATTGCTTAGTGGTAGGGGAAACGGGTTGGGGGATGACAGCTATTGCAAAAGTTGATGGTGCCCAACTCTATACTAAAACACAATAAATCTCATACTTTAAAGGATGAATTATATGGTATGCAAACTTTATCTCAATAAAGCTCTTATCAGCCGGGCGTGGTGGCGCATGCCTGTAATCCCAGCACTGGGGAGGCTGAGGCAGGAGGATCGCTGTGAGTTCGAGACCAGGCTGGGCTACATAGTAAGTTCGAGATCAGTCTCAACTATGTAGTGAGACCTTATCTTAAAAAACAAAACCAAATAAGGAAAAAGACAAAAAAATGTGAGATAATGAAAAGATGAAAATAAAGTGTTTGTAGATGGGGAGGGGAGGAGGGGTGAAGGGAGGGCAGGGGTAAGGGGAAAAAATGAGAATCAAGACTTGTCATGTAAAGGTACAAGATCCCAACAATGAATGTAACTGTACTGTATCCCTAAAATGTACCAATAAACTCAATTAAAGCTGAAAAAACAAAACAAAACAAAACAAAACCAAAACAAATCAATAAAGCTCTTATCAAAATAAACACCAAGGAATGTGGACATTAGAATATCAGTACTTTCCAGCCAACCTCAAGGAAATGTTTCCTAATGCTCTAGCTGGATCACTGGAGTTGCTGTACAGAAGCAAAGGGCTCCACTCTACCGTAAACTGTCCTGTTCTGACTGAGATAACCAGAGTATAATTCTGCATGGACCAAATGCTTTTTCAGGTCCCTTTACACTTGCACCACTGTCTCCCTGCGTAGATAGTAACGAATGCAATGATTGTTGGATCAAACAGAAAATTTATGCTTTTGATATTAATTTCTTTTCCTATTAAATGGCATTTTAGAAGCTCTGAAATCAGGTATTTACTCAAACACAGTTTGACTACTCCACCTGCACACCTAAATCAGTGGAACGCCACGTTCAGCACTGTTTCTTCTACATCTGTCCCATGGACAGTTTCCATGAGGCCTGTTGGCAGGTTCTGAACACTGATGGTAACATGTGTAAGGAGACCCAAACAAGTGAACTCTAGAAGTTCAAGTGTTCACCAGCTAACTTAAAGACACTGACTAAAAGCCCTGGGAAGAACTGAAGTAGTTTAATTTCTGGGACACTGAGGCCCTGAGGGATGAGAAATGCACCTCACAGATGGCCTGGACTAAGCCCCTGCTGGCAGTGCTTTCTTATTCCTGGTACAAATTTAACAGTGCTTCCCAGAGACGACATTCTGTGGGATGGAGGAAACCCTTCATTATGAAAGGCAGTGTGGCGTAGGCTGGCCTACATTTAGTTTATTGGTTTCTTTCCATTACAACATAAAGAATAGTAATTATGTGGATAACATTTGCATGTCAAAAACACTGTTGTGGTAGTAGGAATGACTGGTAATCCTATGTCCTTTTGTGTTTTCAGGGATTTTGAGTTAAGAGCATTTTTACTATTGCAATATCCTTACATCTATGCTGATTTAAAAAAGTTAATTCACTTAATTAGTATGTAAATATTGAGTGATGACCGAATTTCACGCAAGGTGATCCATTTAGTGCTTGGAAACAGGAACAGAAGGAGTGGACACTTGGAAGTTCGAGATGCAAGTATGAAGGAAGGATGGGAGCCACTCCTGGAAAGACAACTGTATAGCAATAAGGCCACTGGGAACGTTACAGTGCCATCCCAGTGGGCAGCCAAGGCAATACCACTTCAGCGTGGGGATTAAAACTCAACACCAAATTCAGCCACCACCATGCAAGATTCCACTGTGAGCAAGATCCAGGGAGAGTGTGATTAGCGACATGCTCCACTGGATCGTGGAGTATGTCCAAACATCCTCAGTGCTTCCCGCTAAGGACATATTCAGGTTTGGGGAGGGCAAGACAATGGATGCAGAGGTGGGGAAACAAGGAAGGCACGAAAAGACACACTGGGGACTGACTCATCTTCTGGCTTTTTCCTTCTAAATGACTAAGCTCACAGGCAACCGTCCA